CTGCCGAAATATCTTACCTCCATTTCATGAAATGAAACAATTAGGAGAAAAAGTTGCCTCTTGCTAAGGACACTTTCCTTTGCCCCTCAACACCCAACCCCCGTATTTCCGGAGGGTTTTTGGATATCCAAAAACCCAACCCTTTTTATAGCTCGGCAAACATGTGTATGGCTGTAAACAAGGCTGCCTGCTTGTGAGTATATGTGTGTGTGGCTCTGTGTGCGTTTAATGACAAAATAATTAGAAAACTTTTTGTGTACTTTGTAGCCGGGGCCCGGAGTCTGAATCTGAGACCGGGTTTGAGTCTGAGTTTGGGCCTCGATGTGTCGTAGTTGCCAGAATGTCCGCCCACATTCCGCCCTGTCAATGTCACCGCCAATTTGCTACTTCTGCCTGTTTTTCCGGCCCACATCCCTGCCTCTGCCACTCTACTCTACGTGTATATCTGCTTCTGCCCACACACATCTGGAAATTGCCAAACAAGAACGCTGCCTCAACCTGTGCCTCCGCCTCTGTCTCTGCCTTTGCCCTCGACGGAACGGCCTTGGTGTCTTTGGCAATTACGAGGCTGGGGCTGCGACATTGACACCTGACTGGCTTGGGGTTTTTTCAGGGGGGAAAGCATGTCGAAATGTTAAAAATTTAAGCAACTAAACGCTAAATATTTAATCAAAGGCCCTGGGGTTACACCGCCGTGAAATTTAAAAGCTGCTAATGTTGTTATCTAATTAGTAGATGTGTTTTTCGAAAGCGGAAGTACTCCTTTGAAATGATTTTATTTTGCAGAAATATTTTAATGGTTCCACAAATTTGCATTTAAAACCAAGGAGTTGAAGCAAATTTAGCTTTCGCCTACTGTTTTTACCTTGTATTGATAAAATGCCTAATTAAAAAAACTTTATGTTTAAAGAATATATAAAAGTTTTTACTGATAAGAATCCTCTCTTTGAGTTGTACTGAAAAAAAAATGATAAATAAAAACTGCAACAGGCCCGCTCATGAATGTTTTCGTAATTTAAATATAATCCAATATTTTTTCCATTGCATGAAAAGATTAAATACACCTTTGATGGCCCCGATAAGAGTAAAAACAAATTAAAACCATCGAACTTTAATAGCTTCCGGATGGAGTAAGCCCTTCAAGTATATAATGCCCAACTTTTCTGCATGGGGCGCGGATTAAATGGCTCAGAGAAGCTTATTATTTAAGACGCCTGGAGGCGGGGCTGGGCTTTGTTATCGGTTTTTAATTATCTTTGAATAAGTGCCATTTGTATTAAATTGAGACCACCGCAAGACCACCGCCAGGGTGTGACTAATACCACAATCCCCGCGGCAGGGACACCAGCCACCAGCTACTATCCACTCGATTACCCGAATATTTTATTGGATCCGGCGGCTCCAAGCCACTTGGCATTTAGTTATTAAGCACTTGAACATATGGCGCAGCCAGGAGGAGGGCAAAAACTTCCGCCAGACAGACGCGGGATACACCCACAACAATATATGCTGCCACCAGACTGCGCCACTTTATTCCGCCGCCGGTGGCCCACATTGCGTATGCGTATCGCTGGAGTCGCCGTCACGAAACTAGCTCCTTACCGGCTGTGTACGTGGAGGTGTTTTTATTGAAGTGCGTGGCGAAACACTTTAACTCGTTGTCCGAATTGCTGCACGGAAACGGGGATCGCAGTCGGGATCTGAGGAGCTCCTGGCACGACAACTCCTGGCTCTGCAAACCCACAAAACGTGCCAAATCGATGGCTGGCCATTGGGTCGCAAAAAAGGCGGGAACGTGGTTCTCCGAAAAGCTTATAGCAGGACCGCAGCTATAAAAAGAATTACCCGTTTGCCACTGGAAACTGAACATTATCTGGAATTAAACAAAATGGAATTTAAAAGTACAGAAATAATGTACAAGCTACGATTTTGAGGAGTTTTCTTTAGAGAGAGAATAGATTATAATTAAGATATTTATTTTAAATATGTTTCACATAGGATTGAGTTTAAAAATGTAAAGAATCAAATCACTATTTAATTCTCACAATTTTTTAAGAATGGCTTCTTTCTATTCACGCTGATGCAGTAAAGAATAAGAAATGTAATCAAGTAAGTTACATGACTAACTCTAAGTTTTTGCTTACATCATGTCTTTCTTTCTTGTATCTCTACAATCTACATGTTACAACTTTTTAGATTTATTTTCTGAAAAAATATTCAAGGGTTCAGTGAATGGGTCCTTGCTATCCAGCTTAAAAATATTTATAAGTTGTATGTTAATGATGTTGATATGTTCATGAAATTCAGTTTTATTTTTTCTGTTTTATTGTTCTTTTATTTCTTAACTTCTAAAGTAAATCTGATCCGTTTTGTAAAGCATATTTTCCATCAAGTAACTAGTATCCCTGCAATTTTAGACTAATCTTTAAGCAAAAAGTCAACAATATTAAAAGGCTTAAGGCTACAAGCTGAGCTACAAATTCCAACTACCCCGTCGAAGGATGCCGAAAAGGTTTTCGGTCAGAAACTGAACCCTGACCGATAAATGCTTACATGAACTCTCATACCTGGACAAATACTCGCATGAATATATACAGACCCGAGAGCACATACGCTGCCAAGTATTTGCACTGGCCGAAAGGAGGAGCCGCAAAACACAGAAAATAAGGAAAAAAAAGGACGAGAGTCGTCGAGCTAAAGGCAAACTTTGTGCCACGTGTGGGGCAGGAATAGGGGGCAGGAGCTAGTTGATTTTCAACAGTTGAGTCGAGTTTATTTTGCCGGCCAGGTGAGACCGGGACAGGGACGAGGGCAGGTGGGAAATGGGGCATGGAACAGGCTACAGGCCATGGGCAACGGGCAACAGCAGCAGCCCGGCATTGCATACATTTTTGCTGCGTGCCTTGGCAGTTTTTCTACCATTTTCTAGCCAAGCTGGCCAAGTCGAGCGTGAAATGTTGATGAAGTAACCGCACATGTTTGCCGTTTGCCTCTTGTCGTGCATAAGTTCCCAAAAACCGGTTTCACCTCAAGTGAGTGTTTAGGCGCAAACTTTTGTTCTGGCCCTCCTGTCTAAGCGCAAATTAGTTTGTCCGGCTGTGGGGCAAAGTTTGGGTTTGTGCAACAGCAAATTCGTGTTTTCGTTTGCCCATTCCGCTCGCACATTTGGGTGCCACTTGTCCCATATGCATATAAATAAGCGATAAAAAATGCTTCGGCAGAGTAAAAAGAGTGGGGAAAGCGAAAAAAGAATGAGTGTAAACTGTAAGCTGTAAACTGAAAACTGAAAAAAGTGGCAAGTTTCGCAACTAGAGCATGTCATGATGCACGGCCACCATAGACGTTGATGCGCATGCATCGCTGCCGAAACAACCATCAAAAGCGAGCGAAAACGGGACAGAACTCAGGATTCCCCGGCTCCAGGACTCTGATTCAGTTTCAGTTTCGGTCTCTGTTTCTGTTTCGGTTCCAAGGACAATGTAACCATGTTAAACAGCAATCAGAGTGGAAATACAAACCACTCGCTGGTAATTTTGCATGCAACGCTTAATGCTTGTGGCGAAAGTGGCGTTGATTTCGGCAGACAACTTTTTCAGTTTTTCGCCTCCACTCGCCGGCTCTCTCTTTTTTTTTTTTGTTTTCTTTTTGATTTTTGTGTTTTGTTTTTTCTCTGTATTACATTTCCCCTTCCAAAACAGTGTCGCTAAAGTTTTTCCAGTGGGAGGGGAAAGCAGGGCAGGATTGGCCCTCGGCAGCGGGCCAAATTAAACGAAATGTATACAAAATTCGCTGCAGCGGCGCTGCTGCACTCGAAATTTGAGTGAGTGGCTGCCTGCATAAAATAAAGAAGCACCACCAGCAGCGAATGGCTGAAGGCTGAACAGTGGCTACACTGAGGGAACAGATATGAATTGTGAAAACTAACTGGATTTTAGAGTTTTAGATAACTGTTTCTAATACCATATGAAAATATTTCAAAACAACGTTTAGATCTCAGAAAAGTAGGCTACAAGTTTGCTATCTATCATGATTATTTATTTTAAGTTTGTGCAAAGTTGTCCAAAAAACTGTACAAAAATCTCTAATTACACTCTATTCTCAGTTATATTTAAAATATTTTCCCTGAGTGTGAGTTTGATTCTCGGCCTGGGCGGCTGGGATGTGCAGGCAGCCGTGGCGTGAGATGTTTGCCAACATGTACAACAATGTGCTGTTGCTGGTGCTTCGGATTCGGCTTCTGGTGCTGCCGCGTTGTCTAAAGTTTGAAGTGCGCATAATAAGCCGGGGTGGTGGGAGGGCGACGTGGATGGGATTGTGGATGTGCCTCAAACCATGCCAAATTAGGCACTGCAGATAGTGGCTCCAAAATGTAGGCAACGGTTTTTGGGGGCCAAAAGAAGTGAGAAGTGCTCCGGCAAAAGAGAGAGAGAGACTGGGGTTCAATGAGCCCGTCATCATTGCGCAGCTTGTTAGCTTTCGAAAGTGAAACTAATTTCCGTTTTTACGTGGATACAACTTGCTGGGAACTAGGTCAAAGAGTAAGAGTTTGGGCGTGTACGTATAGTATAGGGCAAAACTAGGCAGCACTTTCTTAATGATGTCTAACGAACACAAAGTCAAATGATTTTAATGACTTTTATAGAAATGGAAATGATGTAACTACATTGCAGATGTCCTTTGCATTGAGCATTTTTTCGAACTTCTGAAACACAACTTGAGATATGAAAATCATCTACAAAAGTTTCCTCTGTATGGCTGAAATCTGAAGTACCAAGCACTTACACTTTCTTTGAGTGAAAAACAAGTATCACGAGCTTATATAATGAAGTATTCGCATTGTATTGTCTTTATTAATTGCAAAAAAAAAGGCATCATTATCCAATTAGCCAACATGCAATTAGCTAATTTATTAATCCACTTAAAAGGGATTTCGTACTTTTCCCCCTGGCAAGTCTCAAATTATAATTCTGTACACCTCTCTATTTCTCCGCCTTTTGCAGAAAATTGAAATCGGAAAAACAATGCAACAATCGGAGGGCATCGCACACCTCAGTGCCACGCAGCGGCAGCAACATCAACGGGAGCAACATCAGCAGAAACAGCAGCAACAGCAGCGCAAAAGTTATGCCGCGGGCAAAAACTGAAAATGAAACAACTTAATTAGTAGTTGTAGGAGTCGAGAGCAAAAAGCCGCGCACTCCCTGAATTCCGAATCAGCAGCCCAGAAGCAGGACGAGCTCAGCCCGAGGAACTGGAAGTGGAGGTGGAAGTGGAAGTGGGTGTGCCGAATTTCAGGGAACATTTCGCCGAAGGAGCCGAAAGCTCCCGTAAAAGTGTTCGCGTGTGAGTGAGAGAGTGGCTGCACTTTTTTGAGAAAATTAAATTGAAAACAACGTCAGCAGAGAGGCGAGTAAACATTCGGAAATACGAGACGAGCCTGCATATAAATTGTTACACTTTACACACAATGGATTTGCCAGCGAAAAGGACTTCCACAATGCCCCTAACAACTTCCCACAAAGCCAACATCAGACGAAGCTGCCTGGCTCTATTCACGCTCTTCCTGTTCGCGGCTCACATCAGCATAACTTCCGGTCAAATCGATTGGGACGACGACGATGATCCAGGTGAGTGAATTTGAATGCACTGAGAGAAGTTGAGTTCACTATTTATGAAGTTGAATTTGGATATCTAAATTTATGTCACTTCCTTTTTATGGGTCTAATGGCCTAAATATTTCTTAAAAGAAGAAAGAATTCTTTGGTAATATTAAAATTTAAAGCAATATGTCCACCATTTTCCCTCAGTGCGGATATAGATTTAAACCCATTTCGAATGCTAAGTTAGGCAAAACAATCCGGGCAAGGACTAACATAGCCACTTGCTTTATTCTCGCTCACCTCGAGCGCCGTGATTTGCATAAATTGCAAATCGCTGTCGGAAGAGAGAGTTCAATCAACTGGAGATCCAAGGCAGTCGAAGCATTTTCCAATTGAGTTTCGGTTATGTTTTTGTAATTAAGTTTAATTGGCATTGCGTAGCAAGAGAGACTGAGAACGGGGCTTTTAATTAATCGCAGATTTATGGCTCGAGGTATGTGTACGGCCATATAAATGGAATTTTAATTATTCAAAAGCTACAATTAAAATATTTAATGAATTCATAAGTCTGACAGTTTAATTGCGAGAGTTGCCATAACTTTGCCATCGCCAAGGAGAATATTTATAGAAGCGGATAAATCCAGTTGTTGTGACAGGCCAAGGAAGTGCTCAGAGGCTTTGGGCTTTCGGGAGGATACCTGTTGGACACATATTTTAATTTATTTATTTGTAGCAGCAGCTGTGGGCGAAAAAGTTCAATCTTCGGCCAGGCCATTAGCACAAATATTCATAAACTTTTGTTAGAGTTTCCAGTCTCACTTTTTTTCTGCCCGTTTCTGTTCGTTGAGGTCCACCTTTCCCGCCGAATAAAATTCATCGGAATAATTAATTTCTGTTTGAGGAGAACGCTTTCACGGCACTTGAGCCACACCCACCGCTCGACGGTCGGATGGCCTTGTAACCTCCACACTTTTCTATTTTGCGATCAAAACGAAAGTCCTTTGTGGCCCGGAGGGGGCCAAATCACACGGTTTGTCTCATTTATCGATTTTCGCCCCATTGTGCGAGGCGCTCTCGGTGGCGCACGCTTTTAAGCTAACGATGCAAACTGAAAATGTTGACAACAAACATTTTTCAAGCTGTGAGCCGTGTGAGCGGTGTGTTGTCCTTGTTGCAAGGTAGCCGAGCCTTAAACAAATACAGATATAGCCCTCTCTATTCCCTCCTATTCCCCAGTGTGTCAGTGTGTGAGTGTGTGTGCGTGTATGTGGACACCTCGGGACGAAATGGGGGCAGACGGCAGGGCCACCCGCCGAGATTCCATTTCAGCCCGGGCAGCTTTTACAGCTGGGAAATATGGTTTTGCATAAAATTGCGAATAAATGCTGCGATATGAGTCAAGGCTAAGATTAGCCAGGCATGATCTTAAAGCGCCGTTTTGTCCTGAATGCTGCGGATGCGCCAGTGGAAAATTACAAACTTAATCCGAGGTAGAGGCAAAATAAAAATGCCACAAATTTGCAGAGACTGCACTGAAAAGTCAACGGGCAAAGGAATAGTTTTCAAACTTGTCTAGTTTTATGTCTATAATTTAATTCTTAATTTACAATTTCGCAACTTCGTACATTTAAAGTTCTCCTTTTAATTACAAATTCTGTTTGTAATTTTACCACCAAATGCTTAAACATTTTTCCAAGTGCAGAGACAACGACTATGGCCATAAACAACAAGCATTCTTCTTGGCCCCGCCAACACTGTAAAATTATGAAATCATAAAAATATTTTTACGATTACATAAAAAGTTGCGAAAATGTGGGCGTCGCTTACAATGTACGCCATGGTCCTAGACTCTGGGTCTGGGTTTTGGGGCTTAGGAGGAGCTCGCCGAGAACCCCGGCAATTGCGTGATAGTATAAAATTCAACATTGGACATATGACTTCATTATTTATCAAACGGCCGGAGTGGAAAGCGTCAAAGGGACAGAGTGTCCCGAAGAATAGTTGGCGCCCAACCGCAGTACCCACATTGACCTGTGGCCGGAACCGAAACCTAGTGCCATATATTCAAATTACGTGTGTCACACGGACCCGTAGTCAAAGCCAAAGCCAAAGCCAAGAAGAGGCCATTTCCAAGGGGCCGAATAGGGAACACTGAAAACGGAAAACCACATTCGAACAATTTCATTAAAAAGGAGCCACATGTGTGGGCCGCTTTTCGGGCTATTTCATTTGCTGAACTCTGCGGCTTTAACCCTATTAGCCTTTCGCCCCTGCCGGCCATAATTCATGTTGTTTTCATTTGTTTTGATTAGCAAATGCGGCCTGGATTCTACCGTTCTCGGATTTTTGGCTGGCAAATTATAACGTGACTGCCGCGGCGGCCACTAAAAATCGTATTTTGAGTATTCCTGCTCTGTCTCGTGCGTGTTTGTTTCACTTGCCACACGCAATCCGCAGTCCCCAATCCACCATCAGAAGTCCGCAACGTGAGCTGTGAATTGCTGGGCCACCAAAGTCACTCACCCCACAAGGAAATTGAAAGGCTAGGAGTTCGCCGGGAAGATGAAGAGCGAACGCGTTGGACATAAAAATTTTAATTTATGCCGTGTTGAGTGCGTTATGCCCCAGTTCGCCACAAGTGTGCCTACTTTAGATCTCCTCATATCACACAATGTATGCAGATAGCTGGCACACACCAGTCGCTGTTGTTGCTAAACAGTGTGGAGGGGAAAGGGGAACTTGTATCTTAAATTTAATTAAACAATTTGCAGGTTAATGAAATGTAACGAAAGATAAGAAAAATGTATACAAAGTTGAGAAAATGATGCGAGATAAAGATAAAATAGCAAAATCTGAATTGATCCCTCGGGAAATTTGTTATTTGCATTTCTCATTTCAAATGTTTTTTAACAAATATTTTGAGTGCGGAATACAGAGACTTCCAAACACTGTGCGGTTCGAAGTCAGACCACAAATCGGCACTTCTGATGTGCTCTCTATAGCTCATTTCGCTGTCGTTCGCCAGGCGCTGGAAAATGTTGGATTTCCTCGGAGCACGCGATGGATTTCCATTTCCATTTCCACTCACCGGCGTTGGCGATGGCGATGGCATATGAAGAAACCGGAATGGGGAGACCGCAAATATGTAAAAATTATAATTCATGTTACATATTTGATGAAACACATTCAATCATTCGCCTGGCATGGCCGCAGCCCGATAATTACGCATTTCGCCTTTTTCGCAGTGTGGTTATTTTTAATGATAAATGACCGGGCCCAAAGTGTTGGAAATTTTTCGGAGCTTATGCCGAATATTTTTGGGGCACGGGTGTTTATGTGCTGGGCGTGTTTCTCCCCAGCCCTCCGCGTAACTAATTTTGTGTCAAAAATACTTAGCGCCAACAGCGATAATACACACTCATGTTCATATATTCAACGGGAACGGGAACGGGGGCGGCAAGGCAAACAAGGAGCAGGATGTGGCAACGCAATTTGTCATTTGTCAGAATCTAATGCAGTTAATAATTAGCTAAGCCGTCTAATGGCAAGGTGTCTCGATTCCTCTTGACAATGTAATGCTTGACTTCACCTCCGCCCTGCTCCTGCTCATGCTCTTGCTCCTTTGGGCCATTAGAGAAGCCAAGTTGCTCCACGTTCGAGAGCCTACGGGGAAATCAATGGATGATTAATTGCCCCAGCTAGATACAGTCTGGTCTTAAAGGATTTGCTATTTACGTACAGTTCCTTGACTTTGTATACAGTTTGTATAATTATATTGCAAATAAGGAAAGTACAAAGTAGGGAAAATGTAAATTTAGCTTCGGGGTCAATGGCTTTGGAGAATGTAGTGGGAGTAAGTAAGTTATAGTTTCTATTATACAAACCTACATTAGTGATGCTTTATATTAAAAATTAGTTCCTAGACTAAATGGTTTATGAAAAAAGCAAGAACTTTTCATGATGAAGAATGAAATTTTTCCCACAAATTAATACTATATCTGGAAGTTCGTACATGTTTTGCATTTAAACTCTTAAGGGATTATCAATGACAATTTTTATACCCGTTACTCGTAGAGTAAAAGGGTATACTAGATTCGTTGAAAAGTATGTAACAGATAGAAGGAAGCTTTTGCGACCCTATAAAGTATATATATTCTTGATCAGGATCAATAGCGAAGTCGATTGAGCCATGTCCGTCTGTCCGTCCGTCCGTCCGTCCGTCCGTCCGTCCGTCCGTCCGTCCGTCCGTCCGTCCGTCCGTCCGTCCGTCCGTCCGTCCGTCCGTCCGTCCGTCCGTATGAACGCTGAGATCTCAGGAACTATAGCAGATACAAAGCTGAGATTAAACATGAAGATTCTTGAGGTCCCGGGACAGCGCAAGTTTATTACAGCATCCCGCCACGCCCACTCTAACGCCCACAAATCGCAAAAACAAAATTGCTGAAATCTCAGGAACTATTGCAGATAGAAAGTTGAAATTCAGAAAGTATAATCTTTAGATGACAGCGAATCTTATAGTTCTACTACTATCCGGCCACACCCATCCATACGCCCACAAGGCTCAAAAGACGGTTTTCGGATTTTCTAGAAAAGCTGATATCTCGGTAACTATAAGAGATAGAAAGTTCGGATCAAGCATGTATCTTTCTATGATGCTCCCAATGCGAATTGTTTTTTTCCGATCACGCCACGCCTACTCTAACGCCCACAAAACCCGAAAAACCAAAAATGCAAAAATCTCGAAAACTATAAAAGCTACACAATTTTGCTTAGGAACACGTATTTAAGATATGCCTCTGCAACTTGCCACGAAGTTGCATCCAGCCACGCCCACTCTAACGCCCACAAACCGCGGAAAACTGTGGAGTCTATAATATTATTATGAATGCCTTTGTTTGACCTTGTATAACTTATTTTTGTTAATATTTATCGATTTACAAAAGATTTTTCAAATCGGAACATTATTTCGCTATTTATGAAGAAATTAAGTTGTAAGGCCTCACATGGGCAGTGACGTCACTATAAGC